ACACGCGCCCGGCATGAGTTTTAAGACACCGGGTTCGGGACGCAAACCGCAGTTGACTACATGGGAATCCAGCAACATAGCCATTACGCTAACTGCTGGTTCCCAGAAATTTATCCATTTTTATGAGAGGGATGAAGATGACAGTGGAGTTGATCACAAATCAAGTGAACACTTTGTACCAGATGGCCGTCAGAACCACAAACACAGACTCCAAGAGACCTAGTACTCAGTAACTGCTGGGATGTAATCATGCCAAAGAAGAGACTACCAAATTCTCTTTTACTTTCTACATCCAACAGGGAGCATGGCTTAGCCAATACACACTCAGGCTCCTAACATAGGGGGATACATAGCTTCAGGGATGGACTGAACATGGCACCTATTTCTAAGAGATTCCAGTGTGCATGATTATACCTTGCAAAAATCTAAACTCATTCCTAGTCCCATCCCCAGAGATCCTGAATGAATTAGTCTGGAGTGTCCCCAGGGTATGAGATTTTCAAGCTCACTAGGTGATTCTGAGGTGCCACTGAGGCAGCTGAGAACCACTGCCCGGTGGAAAATGTAAATAACTTCTCAAGTTCCTAGCAAAGCCAGACACAGTAATAAACAAAATTTTGCTACACTATCCATTTTATTTCTTCCATTTTCCTAAGAGATAAGCTTATTTATCGCTAGAGATTTTCCAAATAAAACTGAAGCTTTAAAGCTTTAAGTAGTTCAGGATTGTGTCTGATTTCTAATTCATTCAACTCCAAAATCTATTCCCTTTCCACTTAACAGCCTTCTCAGAGAACCTAGAATCTAGCAAAGTAAATATTGGGTTGTCAGAAAAGTCATGATGCAAAATGTCATGACTTTTCTGTCCACCCAGTACTTGTGTAAACTCTCCAAAAGCCTACGTAAGAGATTCACTTGTTTATCTGAGTAGGAATCTTCCCTGTCTTCAATGTAATATGAGGAAGAAGGATCAGAAAACATTTAATTAGGGATTTGGAATGTTTCGAAGGGGATGTGGCTAAGTGCCCAATATCAGAGTTTCTGATAAGGACACACAACAAATACTTCTTGTACTTACACAAAGTACTCTTCACACAAAGATCTCCAAGCACAAAATAATTAATAAAATCACCCACAGTCTGTCTAGATGAATAGCATTTTATATATACAAATTTCCCTCTGCCCCAGGCCTCTAAGAGTATAAGAATGTTTTCAATTTTGAAGGGTGAGCAATAGAGTAATTGAAGGGAGCTGTATCTTAACCAACTGAAAAGACCTCAAAAGCATTTATAGTGACTTATATGAGAAAAAATGTTGACCACAAGTGTGTCATAATGGCTTGTCAGCCATGCTGTGTGAAATGGTTCAAAGACAGGAAAGACAGGACAAGAATAAAGTATCTAGTTCTTACAAGTCAGGTAATCCTGGAATTGATATTATAATATGTTTGGTCAAGTCTCCAAAGGCTCTAGAAACAATGAAGTGGTGACATGAGCTGCCGATCCAGTTACTTGGGTTAATCAAGACAGAAGGGACAGACGTGGCCAATTAAGTAGCTGAGTAGCCCAATGATAGATGAGTCATTGTAAGCAAGTGCAAAGACAATGCCATTGGGAAAAGTAATTTAAGTCATTTATGCACTTCCAGACCAGGAAATCCTTCTAGTCTTTGAGGAGGAACATTTAGGAACCACCAGGCCCAGCCTGATGAAGTCATCTGTTCATTATGCAGCTAACAATCAATGAAAGAGTCAAATGCACAAAAGGATAGGCCATATGGAAGACATTTTGGTGACTGGGATGTGTATCTGTGCCTTCATTTCGGTCACCTTTTAAACAAGTCTTATACTGCAGTCCTCTTTTCTTTCTCCTAAATATGTAGTATCCTCCTTCTCTTGAAGTTCTTCTCTCTCTAAACATAGTTTCAATGTATGGGTGAACTTTTTTAAGATAAGGCAAATATCCTCTATTCTAATTTCTAATTCTCTACTCCAAACAGACTGTTCTCTGTACACACGTAAGATTCCAAGTGAAGGACACTTCAGAATGTTACAAAACAGTTACTTTTGGGACCAGAAGTTAGCGTAATGGCTATGTCGCTGTACTCCCATGTAGTCAGCCGCGGTTTGAGTCCTGGACCCGGTGGCTTAAACTCACGCCGGGTTCGCGTGTGTGCGTGCCCAAGATCCCAAGAGGAGAATGGAGGAGAAGGGATTACGGCATGGCCGTCCCCCCTGGGGGGTGATTTCTCACTTTCTGTCTCTCTGTCTCTTTCTGGCTTTCTGGCGAGTGCATGTGCCCTATAACAAAAACCTCTCCAAAAAAAATAAAAAATAAATAAAAAGTAAAAAGTTACTTATTTAAAAGAATTGTTTATTCAATTTTATTTAGTCATTCATTTATTTTAATTTGACCAGAGAGAGATGAGAGAGAGAGAGAAAGTGAGAATGCAAGCCACCAGGTCTTAGACTCGAACCGTGGTTGGCCGTATGGGAGTGTCCAACACCCTAACCATCACGCCACCTGCTGGTTCCCACAAAACAGTTTATTTTTTTAAAGCACCAAAGAAGTTGCACATATGCAGGAAAAGAAAAATGTATATACAAATGATTCTACACCTCCCTGGATCCTCATTTGTATTTATTTTTTGCAAACCCACAATTGAGAACATGGGTGGGGAAAAAAGAAAAGAAAAGAAAAAGACATGAATTAAAGGAAACTATAGTTGCAACTAGCTCTTTCTTTTTCCCTTTTTTATTCTTCATAGAGTATTGTTTTTCTTCTTCTTTCACTTCTATTTAATCACTGTACATCTTTACATTGCACAACATGGTTTTTCCCAGCATGAATATAGTGCATATTAGTCAAGTCAAGGACATTACCATACACATTATCATAAACTGATAACTCCATTTTTATCTAGTAAGTGTTTTGTTTGTTTTTTTTTTCTCTGATCCCCTCCTTGTCACCCCTATTACCCACTCCCTGTTGTACCATCTCTGGTAACAACTACCTTTTTCTTTAAAACCAAAGTTCTATTCAGGAACCCCAAAGTAAAGGTCATCAGTGGCTGCCATGTTGATAAATCCAATGAACACTATTCCACCTCCCGATTTATTTTCTCTCTCTTCTCTCTCTCTCTCTCTCAATTCCTGTTTTGTTTTGTTTTGTTTTTCTTCATTTAAGCTCATCTTTCATTCCCCAGCCACTAAATGTTGGATTCTTCAATCCCTGTGGTCTCACGCTTCCTCTTTCTTTTTTAAATAAATCTACCCATCTTTCCTGATTGATTTTATTCAGCACTCAATCACATCTTACTTGGCTCTGAACCATCTATTCCACACTCCACAAGACCATTACTCTTCTACACCTGAAATGCTTTCTTCTGGCTTTTTGCTTGGTTAACACTTGCTCACCCTTTCGATCTCTGCTCTCTCATTTATTGACTTCATCAGATTTGGCCCAATCTTACTGATATGAGAGATCATAACATCACATAACATTTCCTTACAGTGCTCATCAGATTTGCGACGTTACAGCTTTTTGTGAAATCATTTTATTTTTGTCTGTCTTCTCACTAGACTAGAAGTCCTTCTTTGTTTCTGTACTCCCTGCCTCTCTTCTTCATAAGTTGTCATACCGTCTACTAATGGCTTACTCTGTCTCATATGTGCTGCTAATAAGCTTTTTTCTCTGTCTTTAAATTTCTGCTCTTACTACTAACTGTTAATTCTCTCTACTTTTTTTTTAGAACTATTTTTGCTAGAGATCATGAACACTCACCAGAGACACAGAGAGAGAAAATGAGAAATCACCACCCAGGGATGGCCATGCCGCAATCTCTTCTCCTCCTTTCTCCTCTTAGAATTATGGACATGCACACATGCACGCCTGGTGTGAGTTTCAAGCAGAAGGGTCTGGGACTTCAACCACAGTCCACCACGTAGGAGTCCAGTGCTATAACCACTAAGCAACCTGCCATAACCACTATGCAACCTGCTGGCCCCTAATTCTCTCCACTTTTTTTGCATTCACATTGTAAGAGCAAGAGGATCTGGTTGTTTTAAATAATATTGATTATATCTTTGTCAAAGTTTCTGTGAAGGACCAATTCATGACTCACTGGCCAATACCCAAATGGACTACCCTTGGGTCGAGGGCATCTTTTATCCATTGGTTGTGACCAAGACAGTGACATTGAAAGATGGACTTCTCTAGAAAAGAACGATAATCTGGATGCTTTGTCCATGACAACCTGCTTGCTGGGAGCTGTAGAGTTGGAAAGGGATCTTCCTTGAGAACTCTGGTTGGAAAAACAAGCATGGACTGTTGGGGCATTCTAGATCCTACTTATCGTTCTGTTTGGGGACAATGCTGTCCTTGTTCCAGATGGGAAAAGCAAAAGATCCCCTCTTTCTTCTCTATTGCTTTACCACAACCAAATGTCCTGCCAAACGGTCCTGGTCTCACCTGGGCCTATCTTTGTCCAGGAATGTTCTGCCCCTTTGAATTCGGGTTGGATGAAAATTTCTTTCATTAGAGGCTTAAATGAGGAGCAGTTTTAATGGGCCAGCTGAGTTTGGCTGAAGCATCTATCAACTACTGGTGATGTGTGTTTGTGTGTCTGTGTGTGTGTGTGTGACTTGTGGTAATACTCCCTTCTCCTAAGTTAATGTTTTAAATCATTTAGCTTGGCACTAAGTCTATACAAATAGGTGATCCCTTCTCCCACTCCTTCCTCCCACCAGCCCTGCAGGCTGGCTTGACTTTAGTGGCTTTCAGCATTTAATAGCTCTCTTTTCCCCCAATTCCTGCCTTCCAGGCTCAGGGCCCTAAGGCCCGTTCATGCTCACCAGGAGACATTTCCCTATCTTACTTCAATCCTTCCCAGCTAATGATACAGACCTGCAGAAAGACTTCAAAATATTTGCCAGGTTGACCTGACCTTTGCTTTCCTATTCCTGGTGGGAATTGATGGATTTCATGCCTGTCTATTTCCAGGGCAGCAGAGAATACAGCAACTTGCAAAAAATACACGATACTTCAGGCAGAAACTGAATGAAATGGGATTCATCGTTTATGGCAATGAGCACTCTCCTGTTATTCCTGTGCTCCTCTACATGCCCAGTAAAGTCGCGTGAGTACCCAAGGACTCTCAGAATCACACTAAAACCCTGGGACCAGCAGTTGGCATAATGACTATGTCACTGGACTCCCATGTAGTCCACTGCGGTTCGAGTCCTGGACCCGGCGGCTTAAAGTCACGCCGGGCACATGTGCGTGTGTGCCCAAGATCCCTGAAAGGAGAATGGAGAAGGAATTGCAATGTGGCCCTCCCCCCTGGGGGGTGAGTTCTCGCTTTCTGTCTCTCTCTCTCTCTGTCTTTCTGGTGAGTGCATACACCCTATAGGAAAAATCTCTCCAGGAAAAAAAAAAGAATCACACTGAAAACCCAAGGTAACCTACTGAGATGGTGCTTTAGACATTTTGAGACTTTTCAGCACAGGCATTAGATTACCATAGTCTAGTTAAAGATATTACCATACACACTATCCTCAACAAAAAATCCTCCATTTCTGTGTTCCTTAAATGTCTTGCCCCTTTATTTTTCTCCTTGATTTCCTTCCTCTCACCCTCTCACCCTCAATCCCCCTCCCATACTACCTCCAGTATCCACAACCATTCTCCATGCTTCTATATCCTCCAGCCTTTCAGCTTCTGCCATCGAGTGTGGACATTCAGTATATATTAAGTAGAGACAAATGGTGTCTCTTTTTCATAGTCTGGCTTGCTTCACTCAGCAGTAAATCTTTTATATTGTCCACTTTCTATCCAATGCCATGTTGAACTATTTTTTTCCCTTCCAGTATGAGATTGTTTTTTGGGAGCAGCTGGCATTGCTGAATACAGAGTACATGCTAAGGAAGGCAGATAGACCTCAGTGGTCACCCATTGAGAGTGGGAAGCTTAACTCCCTTATTCATAAATGAGAATGTCGAGACTCACAAAGCTCAAACTACTTTCTCAGACTCACCTAGGTTATAGGTGGCTGGGCTCAGAATTCAAAGTTAGTTCCATTTGCCTCCTGAACCAGAACTCTTTTGAACACACAGCACATTCCCTCAAACTTTAGTACCTAGGTGGAAAAAATTTCATTAAAGCAACACAAAGTGGAAATTTTAACTCTCTTTAATGTCATCTTTGGTAGTTCAAAGGACACTATGATGGAAGAAAAATCTAATTGTTTGGGTTGCCTGAGGAAACTAAGAACGAGTTGGTTACAAAAGGCATTATCATCTCTCACTGACAAGAGATTTCCCTACTCCTTGATTTGTTTCCTTCCAAGATTTCTTCCATTGAAAGTTTATATGTAGTGAAGCCTTAAAAAGAAAGAGTTAATTATATAAACCAGCATAGAAATACTTCTTTCATTGGCTCCTTTAAAAACCCTTCATTTTACTAAGACCCCTGATTTCTCCTCATTTCCACCTACACAGAATGAAAATATAATCTCTAGTCACTTATGCTTTTGAACAAAGTTCTGTTACAACTCTATCATTGGAATATTTTATGGAGTGTAGTGCAATGTGATAACACCTATAAAATGCACACTTAATCAAAATTCTATTGTATTTAGCACAGGGTACAGACAGGGTTTGTGTTTTCCTTCCACAGTCTTTGTCACTCCCTTAGAAAACTGTGCTATATAAGATATAGGGATGCTGCATGCAATTCAATGTTAATTATTATTATTAATTATTATTTTATTATTACTTCACATAGCTCAGTTTTTTTGTTTTGTTTTGTTTTTCTGGGTTTTTTTCAGCCTATGCAAGCCCTAATTTGCTTTGAGGAGTACAAAACCAGAGGCTCATTATGTAAAATGTTCGGTGCAATCATACATGTTAAACTTACAGATACCAGCTTTAGTAGTGTATGTTTTAAACTCAGAAGTGCTCTGGGGGGCCCCAGGTTAGCCTAATGAATCAACAGAGCCATATATTTTACTCTGCATTCTTTGGCAAAACTCTCTTCCTTTGGTACAAAGAGAAACATGCAGACAGTGAAAATGGTCTTCTGGGAGTCCTGAAAACTGGCCTGAGATCATGGGTCAGGTGGTTTTTACTCTAGCAATAAAAGCACTTGACTTGTTTCTCAGACAATTATGAGCTCTCATCCTGTGCAGTTCCGTGGGCAGCCTTCCATTGGGTGATCAAGTAAGAGAAAGAACAGCCTCTGTTTTCAAGCTTTCTCAGCTATAACCTTCCCAGTCAAAAATCAAAGGACAAATCTTGCCTTGTCCAAGCCAGGGAATCAGAGAGGCTCTATAGGTCTTGCAGTCCTCCTTGCTTCATTTGATAACCTATGTTCTGTGTGAGGCAACAAAATGTCAGACTGCTAAACAGCAAGACAAGACAGGTGAATGGATGAAGGGGCTTACTTCCCATGTCTGCTACAAAAATTCTCCCTGAGTTATGACAGAAAGGTTTCTGCAGTACTGTTAGCTTCCAGCCTCATACAATACACCAACAACCTCTAGATGTAAGAACAGATCTGAGGTATTTGCCCCACTTATGGGTAGAGTCACTCAGTAATTGATTCCTACAAACAGCAACAGAGCCCCCCCCAAAAAAAGAGTCACTTGGGGGTACCTGCCTTTTGATTTGACCTTGACTTTCAGTACAAGAAGCTGTAGACTTTGAGTTTGACATTCTAGAATTATTATTGAGATTAGCTCTGGGTTTTTTGTTTGTTTTTTTAAATAGAGACTAGAAGGCTGAAGTAAAGTAATTAAAGGAATTTTAGCTTACAAAGGTATTATCCTGAAAAAGCCTTATGATTGTCTGACTTATGAGTGGACCTCAGAAAGTTCATGGAAAAATGGAATGAAAGTACGAGTTTCTTTCTGTGCAAAATCTTTTGAAATCCATGCATAATGTTTATTTCCCATGAACATTTCGGTGGTCTGTATTTACCCACCAGGTTCTCTGTGTGAGCACATCTCTTTTTCTCTCTCCTGCCCCATTCCCCTTTTATCCAGTCAATGAGTTTATTATGTCTGTGCACACCTGAGTGTTTCATTCACACATTTAAAAAGTGAGACCTTTGTAATTTCTTGTCTCTGATTTGATGGAAAATACGATCCTTGATTCTGAAGCAAGAATGTCGATATGGGTTGAATCCTATAGACCTTCTAATTACTGTCTTCAGGTTATAGTTACTAAAGATAGATTTCTTGAAATCTCCACAATATATGAGATAGCTTCCAGAAGTACAAATGTACTTCTATGAAAAAGTTTTGAATGGATTTCAATTTTTGGCACCAAAATTAATTTGTACTTTATAATTTCATTTTTCATAAACTTTTTGAAGCCCCCTTTTTAATTTTATGGTTTCTTATTTACATTTAATTGTACATCTCTCTACCACATAATATGGTTTTTCATAGAATACATGTATTACATGACAATCAAATTACCATATACATCATTTTCAACAGAGAACTTTACATTCTTATGTCTGTTATTTCTTCCCTCAATTGTTTTTATTACTTTTTAAACATATAGATAGGTTTGCATATAATATATAATTTTGATTTATGTAATTGCATTGTATTCATTTCTTGGTTTTCATTTCTAGGAAGACTGCAGATGAAGGATCTTACATCAGTGCAGACCTGATAAACTAGAATCACATACATTAAGCATTTTCTGTTCACTATCAAAAGCTTGGTACCCACTGAGATCTACTGAGTATTTCAGGCCCCATTATGCCACATACTCAGTCATGACATCAAATGACTGCCCAGTTCTTTGTCAATTGTATTTGACAAAGTCTATTCATTTCAATCGTGTTTTACTTACCATAAGCAAAGTCAATTAGCCATATTTCTTTTTGTGGCAGGATAATTCTGATTCCTTTCAGTTGACCTTCTTCTTTTGCCTTTCCATAAGGGCTTTTGCGAGGCATATGCTAGAAAGGAAAATCGGCGTGGTGGTTGTTGGATTCCCAGCCACTCCCCTTGCAGAAGCTAGGACTCGAATTTGCCTGTCAGCAGCACATACCCGTGAGATGCTGGACAAGGTGAGTATGCAACAGCCAAAAGAAGCTTTCTGGTACCTTGGATTCTAAGCAAGTCCTTTTATTTATTTTTTTATTTTATCCTATTTTTTTTTTTTGGAGCAGTTTTTGCTATAGGGCACATACACTAGCCAGAAAGACAGAGAGAGACAGAGAGACAGAAAGTGAGAAAGAACCCCCTAGGAGGGATGGCCACACCGCAATCCCTTCTCCTCTGATCTCCTCTTGGGATATTGGACACTCACGCACACACGACCGGCATGAGTTTAAGCCACCGGGTCCAGGACTCGAACCATGGTCGACTACATGGGAGTCCAGCAACATAGCCATTATGCCAACTGCTGGTCCTAGCAAGTCCTTTTATTAAGTGGGTTTCTGAGTTTCTCTGGTGAGGTTTAGGAAAATAATACTAATGGAAATCACTACTTAAAAAAAAGGGGTACATCAATGTGATCAACTCAGATAAAAAGAAAATCAGTTTAGCAAAAACTTGAGGCAAGTCAGTATTTTAGTTTCACAGAAAAGACCTAAGAGCCACATGTGCAGTTTACTTGTTCTTATATGCAAAAGCTGATCTAGCAAGTTGTTATATTTAGCATTGATTGCTCATAGTGTGACGCTTTTCATAGCCACCAAATCGGTCAGACAGCCCAACTAAACAATATGGTGGAAAACCAACAAGGACAGTATATATTATATCACCCATTCCTAAGTGAGGTGGAAATGCTTTAAAAAACTGCATTTTATTGTCTCTTAATTTCAATTTTTATGTGAGTGAGTAATATTACAGAATTAAGTAATCTTAATCAGTTTGAGGTTAATGGAACTATCTCAAAATGTCAATGAAGTTTTGCAAACAATTGAATGTCTCCTATGTGCAAAGCCTGGGCCAAAAAGTCTAGGAGAAGCTACTAATACATAAACAACAGATGAGGATAGCAGACATAATAAAGTAACTTTGGAAAAGAAATATAAAAAAACTGTGGGAGCATGAAGGTGGGAATAAATTATTATAACAGGGAAATTTCACAGGGGAGGTGACTTTTGAGCTAGGCCATTTTAAATAAAAGTTGCATAGCATCATTCAAACCTTCTGACCAGTGAAGCCAGACAATCTTGCCACAGTAAAACAAATGTAACAAATGAATTAAAGAAGAAAGAGGCAAGAAGACAGGAACTAAAAAAGAACTATTAATAAAAAAATAAATGAAAAAGAAGACATGACAGGCCAATAGCAATGAAAACAGAAGAAATGGATCTATGAACACACATTTACAAACACATGTAGTTACTTAGAATTGGAAAATGATTGGATGTAGGATATGTGTGGAAAAGAGAATCAAAAATAATCTGAGGACTCTAGCCCTGGTAACTGGAAGGATGATAAAGCAATTAAGCAAAACAAACTATACAGTGAGGAACAGCAAATCTTCAATAAGAGTGAGGGATGAAATGAGCTCATTCTAGACATGTTGCAATTACATGTCCATGGGCTATCTATGGAGGAGAAAATCAGATTCTAGAGTTTAGGAGAGTATGTGAGTCTGGAGCTGCTGTGGTCCAGAGAAGTGAAGGAATCATTAAAGTCAATCGTAGAAGATATAATTGTGCAAATATAAGCAAGACTGAACTGGCCAAGGGCAGGCTCTTGCAGGGTGCCTATAACTAAGGATGAATATGGAAATCAAAGGCAGAGAACTAGACTTAGATGTAGCTGGAGCAGCCAGAAGAGATGATCTAATGCAATGTTAAACACAGTAAAAAGGATAAAGTAAGTTTCGAGGAGGAGAAAGATCAAAATCCTCCTCCAAGAATGTAAGTAGTTCAAGTGTGGTAAGGGATGAGAAGAAACTATCGACTTAACAATTAGTAGAAGCAAGATGTTCCACAGAGTGGGCAGTTTTAAGGGAATTCTGGAAACACAAGAGTACAAAGAAGAAAAAAATGAGAATAAGTTAAACTTGAAGCATACATACATAAACAGATACACATGTGGATGAACACACACAAAGTAGGCTTGTCTTTCTTCTTCACCATTGTAGCCTTAGAACTTAAACCAGTGTATAGTACATAATAGATGTACAATTAAAAATCTGTGACAGTTAACTCTAGGTTTTGAGGTGATGGCTAAATTCTGTTACTGTTCTTTATACTATACTCTATTTTCTAGATATTCTAAAATGATTATATATCTCCTCTACATTGATTTTAATTTATAAATGCATGTTGTCAGTTTTCTTAAAGTTATTTTTGTTTATCATGAGCAAAAGAGCGGCAGGGACTTCACACTGTGATCAATCCCAGTCTCAGATAGCCCAGATTGCAGGCACACATGTGCATGCCCAACAACCTCAGGGAGACCCTTGAATACAAATCCGGGACTTCTCCCATGCAGGTCCAATTGCATTACCAGGGCCACCACCTGGACCCAAGTGTTAAGAATGATACATTCTTTCTTTTTAATGGAGTGAGTTGGTGGTAAAAAGGAATTGGCAAGTCTTTCAAGAAGTTTGACTATAAAATCTAAAGAAATCGGTGTAGAAAAAGCTCTTAAGTAAAGGAAAAGATTTGACAATATTACACTTCAACCAAGGGAGACAATGAAGAGAGAGAAGGCTCTTTAGGCATTGGAGAGAAAAGGATGTGGCTACAAAGCAAGATCCAGAGATGACAAGAGAGGAAGACAACTCAGGTGAATAACACACACATAGAAGAAAAAGTGAGAAACAACTTTGTTGAACAGTCAGGCCATTAAGGTAGCAACACTCAGAGAATATGAATATTAGACAAGTGTACTCAGTGATTATATTTGGAATAAGACAAAGAGAAGCCACTCTACAAACACAAAATGGTTAATACTGATCTTTCTGACTGAAGGCTGTACCTTTACAAGTGACAGTTCTAGCTTCATCCTAATCCTTTGCTTCCTGGAAAAAAAATATATAACTACATGATAACTAACCAATGAACTACTTCCTTTACTTGATGTCGTCCAACCCAGGGCTGGCCCCCGCTTCCTACAAATCATCTCAGGCACAAGCACAAATACAAGAAAAATATGTCCTCTCACCTTCCAATTATTCAGATGACCAGAATCTTCTGGAGTGTACTCTCCAGCTCGTCAGCAAGCTAAAGAAATCTAACTTTGAGTGCAGCTGTGTTCTGGGTGGTCTTTGACCAAGGTACATTAGCATAAATTATCTATAAATGGTGTATTCCTTACTAATATATCATGTACATCAGATAACAGGCACAAAGATAGAAGTTAAAAAGGTTAAGATAAAAAAAAATGAATAGAGGGCCAGCTCTCTGAGGTAATGGTAATCTATTCCTCAAGAGAAGCCAGATCCCACATGACAACCATAGTTCAAATCCTTGGCCTGGTCCAACCTGAAACACAAAAGATATGCAAATGCCCAAGATCCAATTGATTGGAATACTGGAAGAAGAACATGACAGACCCTGGAGAGGGTACTCTTCTCTCTCCCTTTCTGTCTCTCATATGTGTACATACAATGTCCACTATCTTGAATACAGAAAAAAATATATAAAATAAAAAAATAGAAACCCTAATATATTTCCCCCACATGTTGCATGAATTATCTTGTGTGTTCTCCAAACATACAGGAAACCTCTGAGCTACTTCATTTCACATCTTGGACAAAGATCTACAGACACAATCCCAGATAGTTATTTAAAAGATAACATTTGCTACTTTTTCTAAGTACTTATATTTTTATATAGAAGATTTTAAAAAAATACAGAGAAGAACATTTTGAACACTCACAATCCTACCACCAAAAAATATATTACTCTTAACCTGTTAGTGTATATCTTAAATGACATCAATTTAAAAGATGTACCAAATAGGAAAGTCTCTAAAACTAATAATCATTCATTGTTTTTTTATTCTTTTATGTTTCTCAAAACTGATTTTTCTCTTCCATCTATGAGAGTGACAAAGAGATAGCACCCCAAAAAAGTCTTATCATGGTGATCCACCCTCAGCCTCAGACAACCCTGAATCATGAGCATGCACATGCCAGCCTATGCAAGGTCTCCAGATGTGTGCTCAGAACCTTCCCATGTGGGTCAGCCTCACAGAGAGTGGTATTTTATCATTGCTTCATTGTTTGGTCCAGTCATTCATTGTTATGTTAACAACTCTCACTTTTTCAAAGCATTAGACCCTAATATTGTCCTCCTCCTCACTTAACAGGTAAAGAAAATCAGGCTCAGAAAGGTTCAAAAAATATGCCCAACACCACAGGATTAGTGATACATTAAAAGTAAAAATTACAGATGGCATAATGGTTATGTTGCTGGACTCCCATGTAGTGGACTGCAGTTCGACTCTTAAACCTTAGGCCAGGTGCATGTGCATATGTGCCCAAAATTCCAAAAAGAGACTAGAGAAGGAATTGTGGTATGGTCCTCTCCCCAGGGGGTGATTTTTCGCTTTCTCTCTCTGTCTATCCAGCGAGCTCATGCACCCTATAGCAAAAATCTCTCTTAAAAAATAAAAAAGTAAAATTATTACTTTCTCAATCTGTTATTTCATTTGTAAAACAGGGGATATATTTACCTGCCAAGAGTAGGAACTGAATGAGGTGAGTTCATTATCCCTTGTGAGTTTAAGTTCTATTATTTCATGGAGTATAGACATGACAATTTAAATACAGGAGTTGGGTGGGGAGGTGGAGAGGTTGGGGAGGTGGAGCAGGTGGGGAGGAGGGGTTTTGGGGGGGGTATGGAGAAAAGCCTAGGAGGGTAGAGGATGATACTAATCAGTTCCCACAATGTTCTAGTTTATTCTTTGCCTGACTGGTTTGCTGTGTCATAAAGACATAACCTCAAATGCATTCTTTAACGTTATCTTTTTCTTCCACAAAGTTATATGTAAGTCATTAAACTTTAAAAATAAAGCTATAAAGGATAAGCATGGGTATTTTCACTACTCTCATCACACTCCCAAAATAAAATAAACATTCATAATGTGGAGTTTGACCATTAAATAAAATGAATTAGCATCTAACATTCCTCTGGGGCTTATAAACCACAACCTGATAATATGGATCCTGCTCCTTTTCTTGACAATCAAAGAAGCTGACAAAATAAGACTGAGTCTTTGTGAGGTTTGCCATTAACTTGGATTCTACAAAACAGTGTCTCTTAGGGCTTTAAAGGTAACTGATGGAAGACAATCTCATTGCAGGTTTTAGAAGCCCTTGATGAAATGGGGGATCTTCTGCATCTGAAATATTCCCGGCACAGGAAATCGGCACGCCCTGAACTCTACGACGAGACAAGCTTTGAACTTGACGATTAAGTTTCCTGGTCCTGAATGGAACATAAAGACTTTGCCAGAAAGACCTCCCTCCTTGCCTCAGAAGGAATATAAATGGATTTCTCCCCCTTCCTAAGGATAATTTTGGTTTCCAGACCAGCTTAATTGAAGTGAGGAAGACGTTGTATTTTTAATGTTTCCAACTTGGGACTGCAGAGAAAAAAGAATTCCAGATTTAATTTTCTCCTGTCCCACGTATTCCGCTAAAAATACACACACACACACACACACACACACACACACACACATCTTAGAATATTTTTAATGGCAATGAGCCTACATTTTAGCTGCTACTGTGCAGTCTCTTTGGTGGGTTGCAGACCCTTTCATGGGTTACAACCAAATGAGAGAATTTTGATTTTTGATTCAATAATCTTACTATGTGTTTACTTATTTCAACTTCAGATAAAGGTGAGGGCAGTGGACAATAGCTGACTTTCCTGTCCCACCCATAAAAGTGGAGCTAGAACCCATCCACAGCATGCAAGTTTCCAGGCATGAAAGTAAGGAAATGTTACTTTTACCACTGCCGCATTTGGACTTTTCCCAAGGGCAAGTGTCACAAGGCAGGTTAACATGTTGAGGGAGAGAGCAGTACTGGCCAGTGGAGACTAAAGACGACTTTGAAGAAAACTTTCCTTTCTCTCTTTCTGATCTCCTACAGTTTTACAGCAGAGCTTCTGAGGTTTGGAAAACTCAAGACTTTTGTTTCATAAGGAAGGGGGCAAAATGCAAGCACAAGCCAATTTTAAACCTAGACTAAAACTGTAAAGTTAATATAACCTGAGAATTGCTGGTGCCATGTAGAGTGAACTAAACGTTCATGTGTAGGTTTTATTACTTTAAGGAATGAGTTGTCATTTTCCTACTGAATTTTGAGTAAATGGTAAGATTCCATTTCCTCTAGAATTGCCTCCCAAGAACACACTTTAAGAATGTATTGATTCAAGAACAACATTTAAAAGCAAGTTCTATCTAACATGTTCAAGATCAACCCCCCCCCCCAATTCAAGTCTATTAAATAGTACTGTCACTTGGCACATACCCTCCGATTTGGTGCAAAGTGGACTTGCTCACTTTGAGGCAACTAGGTGTAATTTGTGTCCTCTCTCTCTATGTGAACACAGACTTCTATAAAAATTTAGCTTTTTGCTAATTGGATCTAGTTGGTGTGGAAAAAGCCAGTGGAAAACCTTATCTTTAACAAGCTCCCAGATGGTGCCCAGATTTGGAAACTCTAAAGAGCAGTGGTGACCTTTTAGGGAAGCTTCTGTAACAGTTCGAATGAGTTACAGAGCATTCCACTCTATCAAATGACACTGTAAACAAATCACTTCAAGAGAGGTTTGGTTTTGCGTGACACAGATGGACCCAAGCTTTCATACCAAGGACTGAGCTAGAAACTCAACTTTCGGTACCAGTGTTGCATGGAGCAGTGTGTCCTGATCTCATAACATTAAAGGGAAAAATAGTGATCAATGTGAAAGCTTTTTCTAGGGAAACTGTGACCACCCTCTCCCAGTGAGTACACCAGTTTAAAAGTGGAGCCCAGTGATAACAGTCCTCATGAATGGTTAAGAGCTGTACACACTGTTATTGAAAGAAGAAAATAGTAGTTTCTTAAAATGCAGATGCCCCATCCAAAACCAGTTCCACCTTTTATCAATGAACTGGTGCAACATTACTTGTTCCAAGAAAACATGTCTTATAAATGTACAAGGAAAGGAAGATGTGTAAGTCTTTGAAAAGGTTGAGTCTTCAAAAAGTTAATGGAAAAATACACATTATAAAAAAATTATGCATGGATTTCTGAAAAATTTTTATACCAAAATAAACTCATACTTTAACTCCCTTTTTCCAAGAACAATCTGAAGTACCCTCATATGTACATGTACATGAAGTTGCTCCTACTCAGTTGTTCAAAATGCATGTATGTCTTGGTTCTACAAAGGAAAGAGACAGCAAAGAGGGCAATGGGACAGTCAAGCTTTCCCCAAGGTATATCAAGTAATCAATACCCTTCTTTCCTTCTGAGTCTAACTGTGACCTTCACACACACATACACACACACGCACACACACACACACACCTTCATATGTACCCTTTTGAGTTTTAAGCCCCCAGATAAGTGTCTTCATGAGTGTAAATGCCCACCATTATTACTTTCATAGAGAAGCTTGAGTCTAACTCATCATGAAAAACTAAGTACTTATCCATCCAGCATGAGAGGCAAGAAAAGGTTGCACTTTTTCATCAAGAGCCAAGAGTCCTGGGGAAATTTATTATATTCCTATATATAAGACAAAAGACCTGTTTTTGTTAAAGAGTCTACACTGAATATATACTTATAAGCACAATCATAATCCAAGTGGAATGCTTCCCAAGTGCATTAGAGGGACCAGACTCCATAAGTCTTATGATACAAGAGTATGTGTCATATACAATGAGGCTGGTTAGGAGGGTGATTGTGAATAATATATTTAAATTTCTATAAGAAAAAAAATCCTTTAATGCTAGGTTAATAAGACTATGATTTTAATTCAGTAAAGATGGTTAAACTTGATAACTATATCAAAGCCAACAATATCTCTGCAGTTGGATCTGTTGGAAAAAAGAATTTTCTAGCAGAACTGTCATGTTGTGCCCCATCCTCTTATTTGCATGCAAGCACATACACACACAGATACATGCACACATTTTCCTTTTACAGAAGCAGCAAGAAAAGAAAGTTATAAAGATAAGAGTCTGGTCAATAAAGAGAAGATATTATTCCAGAAAATTATATTCAAGGAAGCAGAAGATAAAGATCCCCAACTGTTATTTTTAAGGAGGTTACATGGACATAGTACGGAAATGACCTAGGCTCATTCCTAATTTTAACAAGGAACCATAGAGTCATAGCCATTTAGCCTCATTGCCTTTGGGTATGTTTTGACTTGACAGAGACCACAGTCTTCAAAATTTACCAGAAATCTTGTTAAAGTGTAAATCCCTGGGCCACACACTAGACCTCCACTGAATCATAATAGCTTTAGTTTGAGAAACATTGGAGCTTTTGGTTTGATAGACAAATTGTCTCTAAAATAATAGAAACCTTGCTCTGACTCTTCATTGATAATAAAGGATGTTTATACTAGTAAAGTGAATTTATTCCATGACCAAACTTTTCTGCTCAATGAGACACCTTGTACCCATTTCTTAAGTAGCTTCTCTTTCTATAAAAATGGACCAAAAACTGAAGAATAATCTGCCATTCCTTTGGGAAAAATTGTTCTCTTCTCTATCATTCCCAACAACACCCCTCTTTTCCTTTTCACCTTGTGTCTCTGAATGTTATGTCATTTTTTTCTCTTTTTTTTTCTTTTTACTCTTTAAAAAAAAAATTTAACCTCCAGTTATTTATTTATTTCAACAACAGCTATTCAGTAAGATGAAAGTCTTAACAATTCTTCAAACACGCAATGCTCCTCCATATTTTTCTTCAGAGGTAGCAAATCTTATAAATGACTGTCTTTGTCTGTTATTGTGTTGCTAACAGAAATATCTAAGACCTGGTGATTTATCAAGAATAGAGATTTATTTGACTCATGATTCTGGTGACTGGGAAGTTCAAAGGCTTAAGACCAGCATCTGGCCAGCATCTGGTGCTACATCACAACATGGCAGAGAGAAAAAAAGCAGGCTTATGCAGAGAGGAAGAGAAAAAAATACGTTTTCACTTTCTCCATTTGTCCCTCCTTCACTCCCAGCTGACTGGATGGTACCTGCCCACCCTAAGGTTGTATCTTCTTCATTTAAAGGTGAACATGAACCTGAAACTTTAACCATTATCCAAATTGAAGCAGTGGCTCACTCTGATTTAAAATTCAAGTTCTTATGATGAAACCTTAACTCTCTTAAATATATACTTTGATTTATAGCAATAATAACAATTGTAATAATAGTAATAGTAACAGCATCTGGTTAGATCTTGACACTCACCAGTTTTTACTGGTCTCAAAACTGTAAGAACAACATATGTAAAGTCTGTAAGTCTGTTTTTTACAGAACATCATATCAGTTGTATAATGTTTAGAAAATTAAAAGGAGGTTTTTTAATTTCTAGACAATTATTATGGGACATTATTATATGATGTGATTTATGTGGTGTGTGCACATATGATGTATATGTTTTACTGAAACATTTGTAATAATTTTACTTCATTCTGCCTGTGAAATGTTAATTTCTTTAATAAACAAATCACCAGAATTGATAATATGAAAACAAATTAATGGTTTCGTGTTGATTTCACTTAGATTACCCTGACAAAAAGACTGAGGTGAAGATTTGCTTTTTGAAACTGGGGAAAATTTAACTGGGGAAAATTGGTAGGGATGACTAGATTGGCTTGTACTGTCATGAGAACTAATTATATACATCTCTTTCTACTCCTCATTCACTAACATCACATTAGTAGCTTGAAATTATTTATACCATGGAAACTGGCAAGCACTGAATCTTTGATTTAAGATCTGGAAAGGTGACTTTGAAACACCAAATACAACAGTGAAACCACATACAATGGTACAATATCTAGGTTAGAGGAAAGGAACAGGATTGGGAAGAGGGTGCAGTTGAATTGTGACATCATCGTGCAAAGTCCTCAGTTCCATGGGGAATTGTGCAACTGCAATAATTCTTTAGTGTTACCTCAAACTGATTTAAGAGACCAGGTCTTCATGTCCTCCCCACACCAATCAGTGAGGGGATGCAAGCAATCAAGGTAGAAGTATAGGACAGGGCATTACCTTGGTTAAGGCAATCCTATTTAGCTGAAGACAATTCCTGGAAAGGGACTCAGCTATGATTTATCATTTAAAAACTTATTTCTTATACACTCACTTAAAAAATACTTTATAAAGGATCAGGGAAAACATACACAAACAAAACATTTAATAAATACAAAAGTGAAAAGCTATCTGTTGATAATAATGTATATGGTAATGTTTTGACTTTACTACTACCCATTCGTGCTGGGAAAAAACATGTTGTACATTGTAAAGATATATAGTGATTAAATATAAATTTTAAATACATATATATACATATATATGTATTTAAAAACATTTTACAATGGAACATTTTAAATGGATAGTACAATAGAAAGAAGAGTATAATGAATACACATGCACCTATCACTCAGCTTCAAACGTTATCAATTCATGGAAGTCTTTTCATTTATTCTCCCATTTGCTTCATTTCCCCTCCCACCAGATTACTTTGTGGGTTTTTTTTTTTAGTTTTATTGTTTTGTTTTGTTTTGTTTTGTTTTAGAATTTTTCCATAGGGTACATGCACTTACAGAGAGAAACCAAAAGGGAAAATGAGAGGTAATCCCCCCAGAGGGGATGGCCACACTACAATCCTTTCTCCTCCTCCTCTTTTTGGGATTTTGGGCATGCATACACATGAGTCTGGCATGTTTTACAAGCTGCTGTATCCAAAACTTGAACCACAGAGTCAGCCACATGGGACCAAGTGCCTTAACCACCAAGATACCTGCTGATCCTACCTCCAGATTACTCTGAAAGAAAAAAAAAAAAAAAACCAGAAATCATATCTTTTCATCAGTAAACATGTCAGAGTCTCTGAATGGTAAGAATGTCTTAATCCATTTCTTTTTTCAATCTCATTAAAAGATAAGTCTTCAGGATAACAAATGCATCAAAATGAGTCATATGTTAACCTTTTCTTTCACTATCTCATAGCCAAGATATAAATTTCCCAGATCAAAACTAGGAATTATTCCTAAGGTCAGCATTGTGGTGCCTTGAAAGATAACAAAATTATTATTTGTTTAGATACCTACCACATGCCAGACACTGTCATAAGAACTTTGGCAAATACTACCTCCTGGGTACTATTGTAGAGATCAATCATGGATTCATCCTGGAAATCAAGAGCATTAAAGCTGTGAAGGGAGTAGCAAAGCATAAAGAGGACTTCAAAAACTGAAGATATTTTCCCCCTCGGAATGTTTGGACTTTTCCTTACAAAATCTACTTTAATAGACTATTTCAACTAAATTTATATATTAGCAAGAGTATTTAACCAAGAATAAGAGAAAACATGAAACCAGTTTATGCAATTGGAAAGGCTGACACCTATGCCAGTTTGGATTTAAGGTAGGACTTATTCCAAAATTCTCTTGCAGGCTTTGGTCTGAATGAGAGGCCGTAATCTTATATTTGCAAGTCAACTTCTGTGAGAAGTTATCACAGATACAAATCAATAAAATATCCAACAACAGAAGGTCATAATAGAAGCAAGAGGTATTGACTTTGCCATGGTATGAAACAGTGCTCTCTTTTATTCAGCCCAGATGCTAATTTTTATATCAAAAATATTGATTGAAGGGACTAGTGCTTTTGGCTCCCACTCAAGTTTATTCAGGATCTTTTTTAATTAGGTTTGGGTCGGCTACAGTGCCCATGGGCAGGGATAGGTCTGGCACCAATCACGGCATCATGCTCTCTACTTCATCATGAGCCAAGGACTAAGCCAAGGAAATTTCTGATTCTTTGTTTCTCCAGCCAGAGAAGTACACTTTTTCCAGATTTGAAGCATGCATGGAGCAAATGTGTAAGGAAGACCGAAAGAAGTGTAATGGCTTCCCTGTGATGAGATCAATCTACCCTACAACCTGAACAAGGCATGAATAAGGCTCTGTGTGTGAAAAATGAATGGGTAGCAATGTGAGGTCACGGAATAAGATCTTGGCATCTTTTGAATGAAAACTTTTCAACA